AGCAGACTCTCTTGTTATTTAATTACTGCTTAGGGGGCCATGGAGGAAGGAGGGGCATTCTAGTCCTCTCTCCAACAGAAAATCCCTGGCAAAGACAAGATTTTACCCTGGGTCACCAGTTAACGTGCAAAGAGAACAAGAGCAATAGCAGTAATCGGAGATTTTACAATTTCAAGTTCCAGTTAGGTACAAGTTGCTGTTACACAGTGCCATTAGTAAAGTAAAATTCAGGATTGCTTATGACAATCTGATCCCACATCTGCTTGCAAGTGGAGAAGAAGATGAGGTATACCACGTGAAACTAAGATATCATTCAATCATAAGCATCTACATTTAGAAAAACTCCCAAATTTCCTCTAAGTGTACTTAATAATTTAGATTACCCCAAATCAGAAACAAACACCTTGCTAACTGTTTTAGCAAAAAGCCAGATTATGAAATCGAATACAAATGCCTAAAATTTACTCTACGGTTACCTTAGGTCTTGCAATGATGACTGAAATAAATTAAAGCACTACCCGCGAACGACTTACTCCAAATAAAAATTCTCTCGCTAGATTGGAAGCTATAGGAACTCTAAGATCACGATACAAACATTCCTATTTCCTTGCATTTGCTCCTCAAACAAAGAGCGAAAAGAAAAGATTCACATATTCCTACAATCAGAAAGTTTGAACAGAAACCAAACACAAAACGAGCTTCCAAGCTGAATTATATAAAGACAACAAATAACTTCAAAACCCACAAGCCAAAGATATGAAGAATACCCACATCAAAATTCCAGAAAACTAAGACGATAAAATTAAAATATCAAAATCTGTTTTCCACCTGCATCCAAACAGATTGTTAAAAGACAATTACAATGTCAAGACAAATCACCCCGATATCCAGTTCTTTGAAATAATTAATAGTGTACACAAATATGATAAAGGCGCAAGTGCAGAAAAATCTAAAATATATATATATATATATGCACACAAGCAATCCAAACAGAAATCGAAGATCTAAACGAGAAAACAATGATCTCGCAGTGAAAGCAAAAACTTAAGAAAGAGATAAAGTAGAAAAGACAATTAGAGTGAATTTACAGAGTGGTACCAGTACAAAACATACCCTGATACAAGAGAGAAAGAAAGGTGGAGAGGAATTGGGGCGAATATTGAAATCGAAGAAATCAGGTTGAGTGACAGTAGGAAAAGTGAAGGAAAACAGTCATGAGAGTGAGATCTCATCTCCATAGCAGCAGTTTTTCCATCCCTCTACAAAATCTCTCTCTTCAAACAGCCGCAACAACTGGTGGGTTGTCTCTACCTGTAAAAAGGAAAAGAAAAAAAAAAATTGCCCACCAAACTGGAGATGGAAAATATATATATAAATGGAAGAATACATTTTTATAAAAGAAACTAAAAAAGGAAAACAGTATATGTATATATATATAATGGGTATCACTGAAAA